CCAGGCAGGCAGGCAGGTAGGTAGGCAAATAAATAAATAAGTAAGTAAGTAAGTAAGTAAGTAAGTAAGTAAGTAAGTAAGTAAGTAAGTAAGTAAGTAAGTAAATAAATAAATAAATAAATAAATAAATAAATAAATAACACCATTGGCCCCTCTTGAGTATTAAAGAGGTAAGGTGGGAAGTACAGTTTGTTTAACCAGATTGACAATTAACTTCATTCACCTTCCCCCCCCCCATTGGCTTCAGAACCATAAAAACAGCCTTGGGCCCACTTCCAACCCACAGGCCACAAGGTTACAACCCTTGCTTCACAGCTATTGCAAATGGCTGAGATGGGAAGCGCCAAATTCCTACATCCTTTGGTTGGTTAGCAACCCAAAATTCAGTTCAGAGAAAATGCCAATCCCGGGGAAATTGCTGTTGTGTTAATACGAGTGTCTGTCTATTTTTGGAGGCAATAAGCCGCTTCCTTAATGGCTCAGTGGCAACTGAAGGGTTTATTCAGTGAGGGAATCGGATTACCAGTGAAGCTGGCAGAGGGTGGAATGATCTTATTTGTCCAGTAATGCAAGTTTAATGAACACAACTTGCTTTTAATTCTCTAAGCAAGAGATGTAGTTAAGTGCCAGTCTGCCCAGGGACTTGGAGAAGATTCGGTTTCTCCTTGTGCCAACAGGTACTGGACTCTTGGAATTCAGATAGCAATGGCTTCTGGGAAAATGAATGAACATCGGTATGCAGAGGGTGTATTTTTTTTGAGAGAGAGAGAGGGTATGTTGTACAATTTTTCCCCACACACAACAATTCACATGTAAAGAAATGTGTGCTGTTTTGAAGACTGAGGTGTTGTTTATACTTTGGGGCTAATGCCTGATTCACGGCCCTGGAGCTGCACCGACATATTAACTTCTGTAATTCATGATAGCCTGCTCTACTGACCCCTGGTTAGGCTTGATCTACCAAGGTCTTGATAGATCTGCTCTCTGACAACGGAGGCCTGGTCTACAAGCAATGCAGGCAGAACAGCTGTCCATCTGGATGTTACCCCAACCTCTGAGGTACACTCCTGGTCTACTGAGTCTTAATTGAGAGGCAGGGTGTTTGGTTTATTGTGTCCCCACATGTTCTTTACCCAGTGTGTTGTTAGTTTGTGGAACTCCTTGCCACAGGATGTGGTGATGGCCTCTGGCCTAGATGCCTTTTAAAGGGGCTTAAAAGGAAGGTACCTCCAAATGCCAGATGCAGGGGAGGGGTATCAGGAGACACATCTCTTGTTGTCTCGTGTGCTCCCAGAGGCATCTGGTGGGGCCACGGTGAGATACAGGAAGCTGGGCTAGAGGGGCCCTTGGCCTGATCCAGCAGGGCTCTTCTTATGTTCTTACGTTTGACTTAGAGTGGTCCATCTCACCCCCTTTTAGATCTGTCCTGCTCCTTTTTAGTACAGTACTAGGGTTACAGGTAGGGATGGGCATAAATTGGTTCATCCCAGTTCACAAAGGCGCTACAGGTGCTGCTGCCCCCCCTCCGCCCTTCCTCTGGCTCAATAAACCACTCATCAGGCCCAGTGTGGTAGCTTCTTGCACCTCCTCAACTGATCTTCTGGTCCCGGCAGTAGCTCAGGCTCCTCTGCCCCGCCCTCCTGACTGATCTGCCACTCAGAGAAAAGGGCGGGGCAGAGAACTCTGTGCTCTTGCTTGTGACTGGGAGATCAGCCAGGGAGGTGGAAAAAACAAGCAAGCAGGGACTGGTGAGTGGCTGTTTGAGGAAGAGCAGTTGGAGCGGGGAGCAACAACACCTGCACTACCGCCTTTATGAAATGGGACGAACTGGGACGAACCAGTTCATGCCCATATCTAGCTGTGTTAACCTATGATGTATTTGGTGTGTTGTAGCATTTGAAACTGATGATGGAGATCCCACTCTACCGCTTAAATTTTTTAATATATTCCTAATGATGCAGTGCTATTCTAGATAAATTAGGTACATTGGTGGCATTATGTGCGCCATGCTAGTTAGATGTCTTGCTATTCCGCTATGTCACTTACTTTATTTACTTTATTTAGCAAGCTAAAAAAGGAACTTTGCCATTGGCTACTGAATGACACTTCTGTACTAAATGGGCAGGGTACAAATTCAATAAACAAACAAACAAACAAACAAACAAATAAAAAAATGGGGAAAGGGGCAGGAAGAGGAGTACAATTAGTTGAAAGGGGACAAATTGGGGCAATCCAAAGACCTTTCCGGATCTTTTTTCTCATGGGAGAAAAAAGTCAGTGTGAATGGAAGGATCATTTAAGTGAGAGATAAAAGAGATCGCACTAAAGGCAAGAAACTTTTAAACACGAAGCAGACCACTCCAACTTCCCACGTCCGGACATGCACAGAATTCTACTAGAGGAAAACATTCTATGATGAAAAATTCTGCAAGTAGTTCTGAAATTACCGTACTTAAAACTGCCCCTTCAAAATGAATATTTGAAATTCTTATGACACCGCAAAAAGAAGAAGCTGTACTGAATAATCTAAGGATTAGAGAGGGAATTTTCAAAGTTCTCAGACTACAAATCAAATAATCCTCCATTCTGGGAGTTCTACCTGATAGGCAAACACCTAAATATGTCTCATGTGAGAAATCCCTCAACTGAAAGGCTCTGAAGCTGTGCTAGGCCTGTTCAGAAAGAAAGCTGCCAGGTAGCCCCAGAGCAGGAACAGGAAGCTTGGGTGAAACTAGGCCTAGTTCAGTCTCAAAGCCTTCTATCGAAGGCCTTTCTCCCAGGCGAGCCACATCTGCCACATGTCTGTTTGTCTGTCAGGGAGAACTCCCAAAATGGAAGATTGTGGGGTTAGTAGTCCAGAGGAATCTGAAAATGGCATCTTTAATAAGGATAATAATGGAATCGGTGGTAAAGAGCAACAACATCTTCATAACAGCTAGTTTCACAATCACTAGCCTGACTGGCTGAACAGCTCACTGAGTTACGCCTTCCCCACTGTGCCTTCTAGGAGAACAGCCAGCTAGTCCTAGAACATCTCCAGAAGGAGGGACTGGTGAACCACTTCCAAGTACTTTATGCTTGGAAGAAAGCCCTGGAAAGGAACTTGATGGCCCATAGCTGTTTATCATCATCATCATCATTAAACAGTAATTGTTATTATTAAAATACCTTCATTCCACCACAGAAAGCTCCTTTCTCCTTCGAAGCTGAAGACTCTGATCTTGAAGATGACCTGTCGGTGGAGAGCACTGCATTTTTTGAGAAGAAATGAGTGTTTTCTTTGGATGAATTCTCCATCTTATCATTCCCTTTCAATCAGTCTGAAAGACATCACAATAAGCCACATGGGATTTAGTTGTCAGTCAAATCATTTGTGCCTTTATGACTACTCTCAAAAGGGGATTGTATTTTATTTCATTTTTTTAAATAGTTTGATCCATCAAACAAATAATAACATGTTATTCAAAGGTACAAAAACTGAGTATCCTTTGCGGGGCGTATCAGTCGAATGAGTCAAACTCCAGAACACCTCTGTAGACCTCTGGGTAGTGTGGGCAGCATATAAATTAAATTAAATTAAATTAAATTAAATTAAATTAAAATAAAATAAAATAAAATAAAATAAAATAAATAAATAAATAAATAAATAAATAAATAAATAAGTGCATATGTGTGAGTACATTTTAGGGCACCCACTTCACCAGAAAGGTACTACCAGGTATATACTGTACAAGAACCTGAATGGTTTCTGCTCAGAAGATGTTACTCTGCCCCGTGTGTTTCTGCATGAGTAACAGGTGAGGGAAAAGATTATTTCTGGTCCAGGGACTGATTCAGAGACACTAGGGAACCTGTTCAGAGGCCAAGTAATGTTCCTGTCACTCTGTTTTGGGACGGATGGTTTAATTAATGTTTAATGTTTATGTGCTTTGTGTGGCATTTTTAACTGTTCTTATTGTATTATTTTAATTTTTGTGAGTCCCCCTGAGTCCCCTATGTGGTGGGAGGCAACAAGCAAGCAAGCAAATAGTACTACTTCTGTTTAGACCACAAAGAGGTCTATGAATATGCCTTTCCTCACCCTATGTACCCATACATTTCTGATAATGATCTGAATTCTTTTAGTCCCCAAACTCTTCATTTCCTGAAAGTCTTCTGCTCCTTCAAAACCACCCACCCTTTCTGTCTTGTTGGCCCATACACTTGGCTCTCCTTCCCGCCCTGCAACATCTCTCATCTTTCATTTGATTTCCTCTTTGCAACCCAGCTTTTGCAAGAATCCTTTGGTACAACCCCCTGGTTTCCATGGCCTAGTGAAACTCAGCCTTCGGCTTAAGCATGTGGAACTGAAATAATCACATACGGCTGAAATCCTGTTGCGTAGTGTAGTAAGTCACATTACAGCAGACCCATTGAATTAGTGGGGATTTAGTGATTCAGCTCCTCTGAAAGTTCCACTGATTCAAATTGGCCTAAGCAGCAATTGGTAAGGTAAAGGTAAAGGTTCCCCTTTTCATTTTTTTAGTCCAGTCGTGTCTGACTCTAGGGGGTGGTGCTCATCCCGTTTTCGTAGAGCCAGAGCTTGTCCGAAGACTGTTTCCATTGTCACATGGCCAGTGTGACTAGGGAACGCCATTTTACCTTCCCACCGAGGTGGAACCTATTTATCTACCCGCATTTGCATGCTTTCGAACTGCTAGGTTGGCAGGAGCTGGGACAAGCGACAGGCGCTCCCTCCGTCACATGGATTCGATCTTATGATTGCTGGTCTTCTGCCCCCGCAGCACAGAGGCTTCTGCGGTTTAGCCTGCAGCGCCCCCACGTCCCACCAAAGCAGCAATTGGAGTAGGCCTATTTAATCAGGGGAACTTTCAAAGGAATTTACTCATCAAATACTCACTGATTCAATGGGTCTACTCCAGAGGGGTTCACTAAGCAACAGGATTTCAGCCATTGCTTCCCTTCCATGCTTCTTCTCTGTAACATGTTGGCAAGCAGTGATCTGTCCTATAACGTGTAAAGTACCTGGATACTGATATTACTGTTAACAACTTTGTTAGAGTAGGCAGCTTTCTCTAAGGATACACTGTATTTTTTTTAACATTCCCATTTTACCTGTAAGTTTACTTGGTTTTTCACTTTCAGTAAATACACAAACCTTTAGATAAGTGCAAACGTCCAGAATTCTCCAATTTTTTTACTGCAGTTGTCCATTGAAAATATGTACAGAAAAGTGGGTACATTATTATAAAATGCACACAGATAGGTCTGTGTTAGTGAAGGTGACATTAAAATGTGCTATATTAGGAAAATGACTTGGAAAAAAGCAAAGGAAAAAAAGCAAAGTGTGTTGCTTATATCCTACCCTATAGTGGAGCACTTTCTGGGTGATTTATAATTCAATTATGCAGGCTACACATTGCACAATTACTGTCCAAAATCCTGTTCATTCTTGTGCCTCCATAATATAATTAGCACAAATCTCTGCAATAAATTGCCACGAATTAAAAATCAGCCTTGCCATTTGCTGTAGAAAACTAAATCATGTGACTTGTGACCATTTGTTGCCAAAGTGTGTGTTGGCTGTTACATCGGCAAGTATAACTAATAGGATATGGGCTAATGCATTGGGCAAAGTAGTGGTTGAAAAAAAATATGCATAGAGATGCACAGATAAATGTATTTACATTTTTATTTAATTTAAAAATGCCCCATGTTAAGGACAAATTGAAATATTTGGTCTAGAAAAATTCTCAAAGTTTGGAGTGGACGATTTAGGTTGGGAAGAGCCAGAAACTGACAGAAAAGAAATGTAATAGATTTATCCCCAGCTTCCCTTATTTGGATATTTTGGGATTGTAGGTGTCTTTGGATAACTATATCTCACAGAACAATAATTTAGTGGTTTCTGCTTTAAAATTACCAGCATTCTTACTTTACATCTAGTGATTGTAATTAATCTTAGATCAAATCTCTTTCACTGATATAGATTTGGTGTGCGTGTGTTTATGTGCACATGTTGAAGAAGAAGAGGAAGGAAAGAGGAGGAAAGAAATAAAGACGTTTGAAGGCTTGTTAGCATCTTAGAACTGCAGAGGTGGTAGGAACCCTATAGATGAAAGAGGGAGGCCGAGTGGGGAATCAAACCCCCAACCTCTGGCTCCATGGCCAGATACCTAAAACTCTGAGCTCAATGAGGCCTGCTTCAAATGTTAAATGCAGTTAGTTATTTTACGCCATCACTTTTAAAACTAAACGTTCTTCTGTTTTAGGACTAGAGACTGTCAACATCATGGCACTTTTCTAACTTTGGGGCAATCATTTCTTCAAATACGCTTGGGGGCCAAATGTGTCAGATGTGCATCCAGAGGCCCAGTTCATTGTTTAATCCATAGTGTACAAAGTTGGCTGAAAGTTGGGTAAACTACAAAAATGTCTCCTTTCGTTTATAACTTTCCTTTCCAGTTCTAATGCTGATCTTAATGATTTTGCTTAAGGTCCACACCAGAATATCTTCAAAAAACTAATGATGATGTCAGTTTCGTATTAAGCTTGACTCACGCCTTCAACTAGGTGATGCAATTACAACCCAAATTTGGCAACAGTGCACCCTTGTATAGTGAAATAATCTATTTGTTACAGTATGGGACTTTCCTCAGGGGTGCATCTTGCGTTTAATGTGGTTTGTTTTGTGATTGGTCATTGGAAGTTTGGTTATTCAAGCAGGCATCACTGAGGAAATCCAACGGTGGGAGGAAAAATGCATTGGCTGAAGTAAATACACATTTCCTTTAATATCTACTTGGGCTCAGCCCTCACCAGTGTCTTGGAATTACACTGCTTCACGTGAAATCAGATGTAAGCTAGAGTTAAATGAGCATGACGCACACAAAATCCACGTATCTCCAGGAATATCCAAACTATGATGTGCTCAAATGCATGATAGGGATGTACAATCTCTAGGCTTAAAAGGAGGGTAGTTCAAAATGCCAGATGCAGGGGAGGGGTATCAGGAGACAGGGATCTAGTTGACTCCTGTGCTCCCAGAGGCATCCGATGGGGGCCACGGTGAGACACAGGAAGCTGGACTAGAAGGGCCGTTGGCCTGATCCATCAGGGCTCTTCTTATGTTCTTATATTTAGGAAAATGAATATTTATGCCAAGGGCATAAATGTACAATTATTCCATTTCAACCTTGAAGATCGTAACACAGGAAACAAAGACTGTCCATGGAGTATAGTGATTAGAATGCTAAATAGGAGCCAGTGAGGTTCACGTTCAAGTTCCACTGAGCCATGAAAACTCAGTGTACTTGGGCCTCTCTCTCTCTCTCTCTCTCACTGTCATTTTCCTCACAAGGGGACGACAGAGGATGAGCTGGCTGGACAGTGTCATCGAAGCGACCAACATGAATTTGACCCAACTCCGGGAGGCAGTGGAAGACAGGAGGGCCTGGCATGCTTTGGCCCATGGGGTCGCAAAGAGTCGGACGCGACTTAACGACTAAACAACAACGAATGTTTTGAAATGGCTTAATAAACAAGACACTTCAGGATATTGGTAAATTAATAATTTCCCTGCTCAGCAGAAGGCAGGGAAAGTTAAAACAATTATTTTCCATTGTATGTAGACTGTAGCTGATACATCAGCTGATACATGCACCAGTTTCACTGTGTGTAGGCTACTGCTGATACAGTGCATCAGCTCTACAAAGTTTTTAATAAACCTTTTATTTTCCTTCTCTTAAAAGGACTAGTTGAGAGACTACTTGCATCTGAAGCCACCGCTGTAGATTTGATTATGGGCAGTTTTTTTAAAAAAAAAATCCAACCTATTTTGTGTATAGTCTAAATGCAGTCAAACAATTTTTTTTCACTTCTCTTTCCCTCTTTCCCAAGCAGGGGAAATGATTAATTTGCCAATATCCTGAAGTGGCTTGCTTATTAAGCCACTGTACAACATTGGCAAATTGAAAGAGGAAGGCTTGCTTTGGATCGGTTCCAGCCGTCACACACACACTGGAAGCAATCCAAACCAAAAGCGATCCTACCCACAGCAGAAAAGTAGAAGTGTGGGTAAGAACGCTCTGGTGCCAGATTGGTGTCTGATCACCGTCTTTAAGAGCACACCACACCACCAGACTGTTTAGCACTCCAAATACCAGGCTAAACAAGCTGTGATACTGCTTTGCTAAACTGTTGTGTCCCCAGTTTCTAGGACCATGTCATCTAAGAATTAACTCTTCCAAGGAGTGAACATAAGGTCAGGGTAATACTGAGTATTATTGAGCAGCCACGAAATTAAAAGACGCCTTCTTCTTGGGAGGAAAGCAATGACAAACCTTGACAGCATCTTAAAAAGCAGAGACATCACATTGCCAACATTGTCCACATAATCAAAGCTATGGTTTTTCCTGTTGTGATGTATGGAAGTGAGAGCTGGACCATAAAGAAAGCTGACCGCCGAAGAATTGATGCCTTTGAATTGTGGTGCTGGAGGAGGCTCTTGAGAGTCCCCTGGACTGCAAGGAGAACAAACCTATCAATTCTAAAGGAAATCAACCCTCAGGGCTCACTGGAAGGACAGATCCTGAAGCTGAGGCTCCAGTACTTTGGCCATCTCATGAGAAGAGAGGACTCCCTGGAAAAGACCTTAATGTTGGGAGAGTGTGGAGGCAAGAGGAAAAGGAGACGACAGAGGATGAGATGGTTGGACAGTGTCACTGAAGCAACCAACATGAATCTGTCCCAACTCCGGGAGGCAGTGGAAGACAGGAGGGCCTGGCGTGCTCTGGTCCATGGGGTCACGAAGAGTCGGACACGACTAAACGAAACGAATACTGAGTATTCACACTGCATTGTTTTGAAGAGTTCCATCTTTTAAAAAGCCAGTTCCCCTGATCCTCTTTGTCTTTTAAAGTGCCATGTGTATGGCACTTTAACATTATAGTAACGTAACTCTTCTGGCTGTCGTCGTTTTTCTTGAGGAGCTTACTGTAAAAACAGCTTTTTATGAAAATAATAAAACAACAGTGAAAACACTCAACACAGAAGAACTTCTAAAATATGTGAGAGCCCTCAAATTGCTTCGAATGTCCACGCCTTGCCCACAGCCAGTAGACCCAAGGGAGGATAAATCTCACTCAGCTTTAGCCACCCGTACAACAGTCACATTGTCTGAAAAACCTTCCATTTCTTGATATTACAGGAAAAAAAGTTAGAAATGTCTCGCCCACACAAGCTAATTATCAAGGGATGGGAGAAGAAAGAACGTTTGATTCCCAAACAGGGACCCCAACTTTAGAAAGGAAGGCAGAAAGAGAAGAAGGTGAGGAACCAACCTTTATCTTGGCAGTAGGAATTTTCGGATCTTGGGAAGGTAGCTCCTTGAGGTTGAACCCACAAAGCAATATCAAGGCTCTCCTTTCCTCCTTGCCTCTAGATGAAAGAACTCTTGCAGGAAACCCCAAAGTGAGGTAGATCTTATATCTAGAGGTAGCAAAAGGAGCGAAGAACACCGAAAGGGGGTGGAGAGTCTACGTACTTCTTGGTTTGGCCCGTACGATTGGTAAATTTGTTTGGGTTGCGTTTGTTCCTATTCATCCCTCCACCTTCCACTTCGGTTTCCCCCCTCGCCCCCCACAAATTCCAAGACACAGAAAAATCATGAGCGAAACAGAAGCGGAGATCTCTTGTGAGGGAATTGGTTAAAAGCTCTTGAGCTCTTTCTTTGCAGCCCACAGCAAGTTTGACAGAGTGCATGTGATCAAGCTTTCTCCCTTCGCTTCATTCCCGCCCCCCCTTCTTCTCCTTTCTAAAGCCCTGATCTTCTTAATTGCTGGTTCCCAGGAAATAAAAGACTCCATGGGGGGAACCTTTCAACCCAAAAAGAGAGGGCGGGTGTAATGAAGCGACTTTCTTTTAAACATTTGGAAAAGCTGCTCCAGACCCTGGTCCCCACGGCTTCCTATTAGCCTTGTAATGTTTTTAACAAGGTTTTCTTTTCTTTTCTTTTTTCAAAGGGGAGGAATAGGGTGCCTTCACACTTGCCTTTCCCCCCCAAAATTGATACTCATTCACACAGTCAGGGTCAAATGAAATGATCCAAATAGCACATAGTTAGAAAAAGGAATTCTGCTAAGTGCCGAAAGATGTTTGCTTATAATAGCATGCGCTCTTCACACCCCTTGTACCTTGCACATGAGGTTGATTTGCTTTGTGATTGGTTGCTGGGAAGTCAACCAGGATGCTTATCAGGGTCTCTCTTCATGTTGCCCTTGGTGATAGTGTGGGCCTTCTGCAATAGCGAAAGTCACTGTTTGAACTACAGCTGCCAGAATATCCTAGTAACCACTGGCCATGATGATGGAGGCATTCTGGAGGGACGTAGTCTAAACATAATAATTCTTCATCTCCAGGTGTTTCTTTGTGTTTTCTTTGTGTTTTCTACCCATCCACCCCATGCAGTCACTTTAGTTATAAAAGAGTCTTGTGGCATTGGAAGACAACTATATTGTGCTTGACGCAAGCGATTGGTTGCAGTGGTTAAACTGCAGTACTGCAGCCAAAACTCTGCTCACAACCCAGGGGATTCAGTCCCAGGTATGCCAGCTCAAGGTTCACTCCGTCTTCCATCCTTCTGAGTTTGGTAAAAATTAGTACCCAGCTCTCGAGGGGGATGGGGAATGTGTAGCCTGCCTAATTGTAAACTGCCCAGAGAGTGCTTTGAGTGTGATGGGCCGGTATATAAGCCTTGCTTTGCTTTGATTGAATGACTGAGTGATATTTTTATGTTGGCTTTATTCTGGTACCAGCACCCAAGATGGCACACCAATGGATGAACAACATATACAAGCAAAACACAATGAATTGCAACACTGAAACAACAATCACATGTGTAATAATTTCTAAGCAGTCTTTGAAAAACACTTTAAATGCATTAAAGAATAAATAACTTATGGTGACCCTTTTCAGGGTTTTCCAGGTAGAAAATACTCAGAAATGGTTTAATCTTTCCTTGCTTCTGGGGCGCCCTGGGACTGTGCAGTTTGCCCAAGGCCACACAGGCTGGTGGCACTCACAGGAGACACAATGGGAAATCAAACTCCCAACCTCCGGCTCTGCAGCCGGATATTGAAACCACTGAACTATCCAGGACACTCTTCACCTGTTGCTGGAAGGACAGCAAAGGGGAGACCAACAGTAGTCTTTGCTGACTTCGGTTGGGAAGCCTGTATCAGTTATGCTGGACCCAAGGGCTCCAGTATGGATTTGCTAACCATAACATGAGTTGATGCTAGTTTTGAAAAAGGACATTAGCAGGTGATCTAAAAACACTGGGTTTGTATGAGAGCAGGCATTCCTTCTGCCTCTATTTACATTACAGTGGTGCCTCGCTTAGCGATGTTAATTTGTTCCGAAAAATCACTGCTAAGCGATTTCATCGCTAAGTGAAACACAGTTTCCCATTGAAATGCATTGAAAACCGGATAATCCGTTCCAATAGGAATGAATTGCCACCCTTAAGCGAAAATCGCCATAGGAAACATCGCTAAGTGAAACGCGGTTCCCCAATTGAAATGCATTCAAACCTATTCAATGGGAGGGGGGGAAATACAACAAATTAAAAAAGAGTCAGAACAAAGTCAAATTTGGTTAACAAAGGGTTTAAGTGCACTTTATAATTTCAAACATTTTAAACAGTAAACTTTAACTTTATAAATAACAGAAAAACATTTAAAAAACAGCAAACATGCGGCTGTTTAAACCATCGTTAAGCAAAACAGGGGACCCAAAATGTAATCGCTATGCGAAGCATGGTCCCAACCATCGCTTAGCGAAAATCGCCCATAGGGACCATCGCTAAACGAAGCACATAAACGCTCCGAAAAAGTCATCGCTAAGCGATTTCATTGCTAAACAGAGCGCCCGTTAAGCAAGGCACCACGGTACTCTGAATTTGTCCATCATGGCTATGAACTTTAGCACCTGGGCTTTAGCACCTGGGGTTTCACTGCCCTGTTGTTTAAGCTTTGCCCACATGTGACTGGCATATGTAGGAAGCAGGTGGAGGGATGGGTGTAAGCATGTTAATGGCCACATACTGTCTGCACTGTTCCTGCCTTATGTTTCCTTTTGTCTGGGAAGGCATTTATTGGGAGTGGTATATGCATGTAGGGCAAGTGGATTTATACCACTCCAATGGCAAATGCCAACAGGTGGGTTCATGGCCTTCCATCAACCAATTGTGATATCCTATCAATTTTGAGGAAACAAGAATACTGGATATGAGATGGATGGACTCTGTAAAGGAAACCACAGCTTTTAGTTTTAAGACCAGAGCAGGGCTATTAGTGATAGGACCTTTTTTGGGGGGTCACTAATTCATAGCGTCACTGTAAATCACAAACAACTTGATGGCACAAAATAACACCACCACTAAATTTTGGTGCCTTGGATCAAACCCCAGCCAGCTCCACCCTAGCTCTGTTGTCCACCCCCAGTCTGGTGAAACATGTAAAAGTGTGATGTTCTCAAGTACTAATATTAAAAATGTCACAAAGAAGGGTGCTATTGTACTACAGAAGCTTAAGCATTCAACCTGGTGTGGGTGTACAGCTCCACATCATCACCAGCCATGAAGGGATGATGAATATATTTAGAGACTGCCAGATGGTGGTGGGCTGAACTAGAGTGATAGACATGGACCTCTAGGTTTGCACTAGAGTTCCTTAGGAGACTGGATGGTAAGCCTCTGAAAGCACATCCTTCTTGCCTTATTTCAGTTGCTTCTGGAGAGCATAGGTTTGGCTGTCACTGTAGCAGAATCCCTGAGTGCTTTCTCCTGTTTCCAGAGTAGAAGTTGTGTGTCGGGACATTCCAATGTTGTGGAACACCAATGGCTTTCATAATGATGTGTAGTTTCTTGGGATTCATTCCACACTACAGAAGGCTGGACTGTCATTTATGCCACAGCCCACTCCTTGGCTTCAGTTTCTCCATCTTCTACTTTCAGTTATATAGTCTTTCTGATTTTTGTGTTGGACACCCAATGACATCCGTACACAAGATTGTTGGTTTGGTTGCTGAAAGGATACATTTAGCTTGTGGAAATTCATAGCTGAGATTTATGCCAAAGGACCTCATGGCATGTGTGTGTCGTTTCTGTTTGTTTGCTGCCCATTAAGTCACAACTATAATGCAGCTATACTTTCTTTCTCGGAAAAAAGAATTAACCACATGTTTTTACTTTCTTCCACACTCTATTATAGATTTTGGGTGTGTGTGGTTTTTTTAACAATCAAAGCAGCAGGACAGCAATGGCTCTGTCTGAAGAGATCCTGGGATTTGTAACTTGGGAAGGTACTTAGAATTATCTCCTAGCGTTTTCTAATCCTGCAGCCCAGGAGAGAACCTCACAAACCTATTTACTCCAGGGTAATATGTGATCGAACCATGTCAGTCAAAGAGGCATTGTGCAGTGTAGAGATGCTGTTGATCTCAATAGAATGTGATGGAACATTGCAATGGAATGTTGTACATTAGTTTAGATAGTCCAATAAAAAAAAGAATTCTCATTATTTGCCTAATCATAGAGCTCCTGTTCAGAGTTCTATGTAGAACAAAATAGCAGGTTTGGTCTCTTTCAAGAGAGTGTGTGTGGCGCAGTGGTTAAAACGCTGTACTGCAGCTAAAACTGTGCTCACGACCTGGGGTTCAAATCCCAGGTGCAGTGTAGAGATGCTGTTGATCTCAATAGAATGTGATGGAACATTGCAATGGAATGTTGTACATTAGATAGTCCAATAAAAACTAACCATCATTATTCGCCTAATCATAGAGCTCCTGTTCAGAGTTCTAGGTAGAACAAAATAGCAGGTTTGGGTCTCTTTCAAGAGAGTGTGTGTCTGAGTTTTATGAACATACTTAACTGAGAGCCAGAATGATATGGGGCGGGATATAAGTCCAATAAATAAATAAATAAATAAGTTTCATGAACATACTTAACTGAGAGCCAGAATGGTGTGGTATGTTGAAGAAGATTGCAGGAGACCCGGGATCATGTTCTGGCTGAGCTATGAAAGTCACCCAGTGAACATGGACCAGCCTGACCTCACAGCAAGTGAGGAGGAAGAAAGTCATGTGGACTCCTTGAGCTCATGGGAGGAAAGGCACAATATATACATTAATATGAATCAAAACACTTACAATTCTGTTGGTTCTGGAGGGGCCTTCTCAGATGGTTTGGATTTTTTTTAGAGGGAGTTCTGTTGTTTTTATTCATTGCTCTCCTTTTAAATGATGAGCAAGTGAGCTCCACATTTCCAGGAAAACACTCAACGATGTAATAACTGCTAACTTATTTTGGGGGTGATCTGATTTTACTTAGAAATAGGTCAGCCACATTTGGAGGGAAAAGGCATGAGGGCAGAGAGTGCAAGCGAAGAGAAAGTTTCCTTGACAGGGCATTGATGGATGGATGTAATTTAAAAAAAAAAAACCCTCACAGCATTTTTTAAGAAAAGGTAAGCTGTTCAATTTGGTGAGCATTGACCCAGCATTTCTTATTATTTGCTTGCCTGTTCTAAAATTTGAAGCATTAGCCACCTAAGGGAGGGTTTAAAACCCAAAATTAAGGCTGCAATCCTATACACATTGACCTAGGCCTTACTTCCACATAGACGTGTATGGAATTGCACTTTAATCTATGCTGTTTGTAAAGCAGGAGCAGTAACTCTATGCCTCCCAAATCCTGTGTTAAATGTCATTA